TAATCGCACGTCAACAACAACAACCACAACAATACCGCCGGGCACGCAAGACAAAGAGAGAAGACTGGACGCTGATACGAGAGCTTTTACTGTCTCTTCAACAGTCGAAATGTTAAACAAAATCTCCGTATTTATACAGTTAGGAAAATCAATGTCACATTTGAAAATATTAACAAACCATGAGAATTCAGTAATTAAAATCAATAATCATGCAGATGCGGGAAATCAATGATCATGCAGGTGTGGGAAATAAATAATGAATATTGATGAGTCACCTGTGTATATATCACCTCCCCCTTTTAAAAAGAATCTTGCAAACAGTTTGGTATCTTTTTTCCTTGGGGTCGATTTGGAAATGAACTGTTTGTGTTCGTTTGCGCTGGGATAGTCGGCTGGGTAGCACCTCTTGTTTTGCTTCTGGTTTGACTGATGGTATTTTGAAGGTTTCCAGTAGTAAATCCCCTCTATTGGCCCAGTGGGACCTTGGTTTTGACGTGGGCCATGCTCTCGGTGGCGGATCTTTGGCTGCCATGATAGACATCACTTTCAGTTTTTGAGCAGAGCTTCTCTTACTGGAGCTAACAGTTGCTACTTTGTTGCTACCAGACATCGAAGCTCTTTTGGCGCAGCCATACTCACTATGACGATTCGAAGTTGGTTTTTCATTAATCACGACATTCTTTATACTGGGTTTAGGTCTAATATATCTGCCTCTCATTTCTGGCTTTCTTGTCGAGGGCTCAATACTTTCGATCTTATGGCATACACTGCTTAACGGAATCTCTGACAGGTGCAGCTTCTCGAACCAGTCTAGACCCAAGAGGTCAAGGTTTGAATTGTTGATGTAGCATGTGCCGACGAAATGACTATCGCGAAAACCAACGCTGCATTTAATTTCTCCATTCAATCGAAGTCTTCCACCACATGCACTAATTGCTATCTGATTTGTCTTCTCTATGGCAGGGCAGCCCAACTTTTGCCATAATTTCTTGGATATTATTGCAATGTCGGATGCTTTGTCGATTCGTGGGCGTGCCGGCCGTGTATTAAACGTCAGGTCGATATATTTGCGAGGTACCGGAGTACTAATATGATATGCGGTAGTAACACCCAAAGACTTGGGCTTGTGGCGCCGTCTGGGTCGGCTACGAGATCTGGGTCGGTTGTTGCGTTTGCAGTAGCCATCTTTGTGACCAACAGTATGGCATCGACGGCATTTATTCTGTTTGAATGGGCACACGTTTGCAAAATGCCAGGAGCCACAGTGCTAGCAGGATGATGGTGGTTTATGCTGAGGATGAAGCGGTGCGGTTAATGTCGACGGTACTGGATGCACCGCATGCACTTCTGCTGCATTTTGGCTGCCAGACTGCACCAAGGCGGTATCGTTATGAATGTTGATTAAACGCTGATATTCTTCACCGACGTCTTCCAAAGTCATTCGTGGATGTTGTTCCAGACGATTTAATAGGCGTGTGCGTATATCAGCAAATTTGGGAGACTGCAAACCACAAATGAAAATCAATACCTTGAACTGGTCTTCTGAGAGCGATTTCAATTTAAAACGTTCACACATGCGATTGACTATACCCAACTGAGTATGGATATCATCATTTTCATTCAGAATTAGTTTCATGCAATGATATCGAAGGTTGAATAAAGATCTCTGATCACCAAACTGATGACGAAGGGTATGGACAGTTTCATCGAATGATCTTTCGCTGGGCTTCTGTGGGAGAATTAAGTTGCAGTATTTATCTAGCTCATCTGCTCCCAATTTACGAAGTAGAAGCCGTACTTTCCAGGCATCATCTTTATCCACAAAGTCTCCTCGAAATAGGTCTTCATATCTGCGAAACCAGGTATCAAAAGTCACGTTCGCATCTGGATCATAGACGAATTCTGAGATGCTACTACCAATGCTGTCGTTGGCTGTAGATGAATCAGCAGGGCGTGATATATGTAGACCAGCAAGCATATCCATCAATTTTAGCTGCTGTTCCATTAGTTTCTCTAAACGCAGTGGGTCCATCTTGAGCAAACCCGTCGCCAATTTGTTATGTATGAATACGAGGACCTTGTAGACCACTAGCGAATCTAACTAATGCGCTGGCTAATCTGTCCTAATCGCACGTCAACAACAACAACCACAACAATACCGCCGGGCACGCAAGACAAAGAGAGAAGACTGGACGCTGATACGAGAGCTTTTACTGTCTCTACAACAGTCGAAATGTTAAACAAAATCTCCGTATTTATACAGTTAGGAAAATCAATGTCACATTTGAAAATATTAACAAACCATGAGAATTCAGTAATTAAAATCAATAATCATGCAGATGCGGGAAATCAATGATCATGCAGGTGTGGGAAATAAATAATGAATATTGATGAGTCACCTGTGTATATATCAATGTTTTATGCGGATTCAATGTATAAATAATATCTCCTCTCTATTAATATTGTATCACTGTCTGCTTAGCTGACTGCTAGGTTAAAAAATTCAGGTGGTTCTCATGAATGTTGCAATTTCAGTGCAGTGGAGAAGGCCATTACTCGTTTAGTTCTCCTCGCTGTTTCATTTAGTGGATTAATTCAGTGTATAGTATTATTATATACATGGTTTGTGTTGCTTATGAGAACTGAATCTGGTCAGCCCTATTATTATCAATCTACTGTCTGTTATACCATTTCCACTGACACTGCATAGTTAATGCTGCGATGTTTCTGATCACCAGTAGTGGAAATGAAGTCCAAGGTGGGCTATACCGCAATTGTCTGGTTTGAAAGTCAGTCGCCACTTTTCGCTCCAATCGCCTAGACTGTTTAAATCATATTGGATCTTGCTTTCGACACCCGCGTCTTCGTACCCATAATCATATACTATTTTGAGATCATCTGCGAAGAGGTATGGCTTGCCATACTCGATCAGAGAGACTACGTCATTCATGAATAAGAGGAATCGGATAGGGCGAAGAACGCTTCCTTGTATTACAACACTAGTTGTCGGCTTTGGTGAAGACAGCTGATGGTTGATTTCAACTAATTACTCTCTTTGTGTGAGAAAAGGATTTATCCATTTGAGAAGTTTTCCAGTCATTCCGCAGGATTGGGGTTGCGTTATGTGTCTGACATATGGGACTTTATCAAAGGCTTTGCTAACGTCAAGAAATAATGTTGATACTGAAAGACCATTATCAATGCGTTGTGTAACGGAGTCAAAATAATCTAAGTGGCAAGTAATGCACGACCTTCTACTTTAGAAACCGTACTGGGATGGGGATGGTAGGTCATTTGACAGCAGGTACCGTTTGACTTGAGTCTCTACTATCTTTTACATTGCACGCGAAATCACAGATATGATGTTGGTGGGGCGGTAGTTGTTGATATCAGCTATAGGCCCGTATTTATGGATAGGTACAATATAAGACTTCTTCCAGCAGGTAGGGTATGTCCCATCGCTTAGTGAAACTGAGTATAACTTGAGTTGGAGTAAATTCATGTCATTACCACCGTTTATCAGCAGAATGGAAGATATACTGTCTGGACCGATAGTGTAACTAAGAATAAGATTTGCGACGACTTTATCGATCTCTCGTGTGCATGATATGGATTTCATGCTGTAAGAAAGGCCTTGTTCGGAGTAAAGCCATTATTACTATTCTTTCGCTATTCAATCAAATAACTCGAAAAGAATTACAGTTGAGTGTGATTTAGGACAGTTGTATGCTTAATTAAATATAAGTGGCTGGATGAGTAGAACATCCACCACTTTGACACCTAAAATCTTTTCATGTTTGTAGATGCAACAATGGGGATGACGTGATAACTCGCCAAACATGGTTTAAGCAAGATTTATATCTAGGGTCGGTAAAGCCTAACAGGAAGCTTAAGCGAATGAACCGAAATTTCCTATAAAAGCAGCCAAAAGTTGGGGACAAAAATTTTGAAGAAAATACACAGAATGAAATCATTACTAACTCCGAAGAGTTTGCTTTGTTATTAACAGGAACTGTGAATATGGTGGAAGATAATGAACCTTCTGCTGCAACTTATGTTTTGAATATAGCTGTATTTGTGGCTACACATGCCAGAGGGATGTGGAAATGAGGTAGCTGACTTAGCTTTAGAGCCTAGGTTATGATATAGCCATAGGCATTAGTATGAGGAAGCTCTTAATTTCGCAGGCCTGGCAACTTCACCATTAAAATCCACGAAAACACCTTTTCTGAGACTATTAACAAAAATCAGTGATCAGTGAAAAGAGAGAGTAATAAAATGAGCCTGGTGCACACTAACTATTATTATTAATTCCTCCACGTTCCTCCAAGCTAGAGGCTTGAAGTTTCTGTAGCAGTATTTATATTTACAGAATGGGATTGCTAGCCTCATGCTCAACCTTTCTTCTTTACTAGCTTTATTTCTGGCTTAGCGAGGTAAAGGAGTGCGTCGGCTGGGGATCGAACCCCGGACCATGTGCATGGTCGGCGAGCGTCCTAACCGCTATGCCACCGACGCGTATACTAACTAGTAAACGGCATTTTGGGTACTGAATTATATGCGATCTCCTGGCGACTGGTATAAATAAACTGAAAATTATTTGGAATCCTCGCTTTTTAGTTACTAAATTTCGTTTTCTATGTTAGTTAGTTTTTCTTCTAAGCCTAATAGTATTTATTATTGATATCGACTCTTCGACCACACCAGACTACTTACAAATGGAGTGATCAGTTGCGTTCACACCAAATACAACGTGTGGTGTCAATCGCATATAGCCAGATTCTAAAACACAACGGCGGTTGAGTGTTGGGACAAATTACGATGAAGTTGGCCGGGGATCTTAAGCATTTACATTAAACTAAAGAAGCCAGACAGAAGAAATAACTTTGCTTTACACTGCATTGTAAAAAGAGCACTGAATATTGAATAGTGGACGCCTTTCCGTGAAGATTGCACTTATATTCGTGGCTTGTTTTACTACTCTAATTAGATCCATTTAAAAAACCGACCTAAAGAGCCGCAGCTTTTGATGAATTGTTGGAATTGATGTGTTCTTAATTTCTGGACGTTGTTATGGCATTTTTGTTGCTCTGGGCCATAAATTTCGGATCAATTTTGGCAGGTACTTTTTTGTTCACTTCTTCACGGCCTTCAGAGTCATCTGTAAAAACAAACTTCATTGGTTCGGTAGCCGTATGGCCTAAAGCACAATTCCCTGTTGAATTGGGACAAACTGTAACTTGGGTGTTCAGTCCACTAGGAGGTGTTGAATATGATGTAAACTCAGCTCTTAGCTTTGATGTCAATGGTCAAAGAGCGTATCGTGTCCAAAAGGACAAGTGTGGTGGCCCTCTGGAAAAGTACTTTTCATGCATTTATAAACCTAAAAATGAAATATCTGTTACTTTCACACCGGAGGCATCACATTACGGCCAATTACTGGAGATTTTTTATTATAAGGATATGTACTCATTATGGCTTGCAGATACATCCGCAATTTTCTCCGAAACCATTCAGGTATGCAGGTGTTTTTTCTTTTGTCCTGTAATTTAATAGCACAGTGATAAGAAATTTTCCTCACACCCCTGATTTCCGCTGTAGCATAGTGGTAAAAATGCTGTTCTATAGGATTTAGTAAACCTTGAGATAACTGTTAAACTTCAGTTCCATAACTGCTTGTGTTGATCAGTTAGTGTCCTTATTTAAGACTTAGAAAATTTAATGGGCATCATCTTATATGACGTCACTGACCTCCGTAGCTTACGAATAATGTGATTTCCAGTGTTGTTTGCAGATAAGTATTTATCCCTAAAATGGTAGAGTAGCATCAACTTTTGCTATACCAACTCTTTGACTGCTATTTTTCAGTTGTGACTGAATTAGAAGGTGTGAATATGCGTCCTGCTCTTGTTTGGTTACACATCCGTACAACACTTAATATTCTGCTAGATCCTAGCCTTTTGCTGCAACTAAAAAATCCATCCCTCAAGCAACTTGTGACTCCGGTTACCGCAAGGTGAACAGGTCTATCTTACGTCAATCTTACTTGTACAAGTACAAAGTTCTGTCCATGGCCTTCGAATAGTTAATATTATTTCGATGATGTTTGACAGTTATTTCATAAGTATGAGATTTTCTATTCTGCAAATAAATGCCAGTAGGTTTATGCTACACCATGCGTACAGACGAACTCAAGCAGACCGATTCTAAATATAATTAGGAACGACAACTGTTCAAATGCAAGCTAAGAGTATCCGCAAACACCAAACAAGAGCGACAAAGGATAAATAGATGGAAAAGTCTTCGGTGGTGGATAACACCAGACTACTATTCAGGCTCATTAGGGAAACATTGCAAAATACCAGTAAAAAGCAAAACAATTCCCAAGAACAGTACTTTAATTACCTCTCAAGATAGATGACTGGAACGTTGTAAGAAACACTGATGAACTATCCAGTTGATTTAAAGCCAGGTGAAATTTGCCCAGTATCCAACAACTACCTGAATAGGATGCCGACATCGGTCGTCCACCTGTAACGGGTTGTGAAAGCTGTCTATAATCTGGAACGAGGCAAATCGGCAGGACTGGATGAAATGATTGCAGAAGTTTCAAACGGTAGTGGTGATGAAATGTTTTACGGGTTAATTGAGACATTAGGTAGTGTGTGGACATACGAAATAGTCCCACTAGACTGATGTAAATCATTGATTGTCGTGGCTTATAAGATAGGGAACAAGTCTTCTATTGATAATCATAGATGATAAGTTTGACTCATATATCTGAAATTCTAGGTGTTATAATCATGCATGAGATTATGTGGAGCTCGGAAAAAGAAGCCCATGAAAACCAGTAGAGCTTTAGACCAGAACGACAGTGTATTGATCTCTTCACCCTTCGACAGAATTTAGAACACCGGCATGGTCGCTGGTGTCCAACACATGCCATATTTCTCTGCTTGAAGGTGTCATCTTACTCCGTCGGTCTAGGAATTGTATGCCAATGTCTGACTGAAGAGTTAGTGCTGAGAAAGTGAGGTCCTACGTTGAAAATTCAATTAATCCCCCAGAGTTGACTCGAAAATGACGTTGGTGACAGCATTGAAGAGAAATAGCAAAATTGGTCATTCTTGTCTAGTTTCACCGATGGTTGAGAACAGTGTTGATAGTTAGTTGTACGCTCTTAGTGTATCCGAAGTGCTTTTGTATTGTGTTTTCAAACTTCTCCGGGACATCACTCTAGCTGAGATTTCCGAAGACCATTTGTTTAACGAATCGAAGGCAGTTCTGATGTTGGCGGTATTCTAACAACCGAAAGATGGTAAACGCATGGTCAGTATCTAAAACCTGAATTAAGCCCGGTTCGATCTGCGAATAATTTCTCTTAAGTTTTACAAAGTCTGTAGGGCATGATAGCGGTTAGTATTCTAGACACAACTAGTAACAGACGAATACTCGAATGACTTTCACATGAAGCACATGCGAGAAAGTTTTGGGGTAAGCGAAGGAATAGCCGCATGATATTAGTCATTACCTAGTGTCAAATCAAAGCATCCATTACAGCCCTACAGGAGGTCAATCGAGAGGCCGAATAGCTCAGTGGTAACGTCTGAATGCAGCACTGGGTGACTTGGGTTCGAATCTTGGAAGGGACTTGAGTTTCTCCAATACTTCAGATACGTCTAGCTGACGGGTGTCAACCAGTATAAAACTTAAGGCCAAGGCTTCCTAACGATTGCCTCCAACCATATAACAGCAATATGATTCAAGTGGATTAAGTGGGAGAGTTCTATAAGTATATAGTAAATGTATCATTGGCAATAGATCGATTCTTCTCTTACGTTGATAACTTTTAAGGGTGGTTTTCCGCTTAACTTTCACTTACCAACCTTTTATTTTACATCTCTACCAAGTGCTTTTAATAAATTTTCGAAAACTTCCTATATTTTTTGTACGAATTTGACCTTAATGTAAAAAAAACCTGATTTCGTTTCAGTTAATCAAACAACCCACCTTTGTCAAGATGTCAATGGAGTTGAAGGAAGCCTCTCGTTATATACATAGTGTACCAACTAATCTTCGTTTGGATCCCCCGATATTTCTTACGGGCTCTAACGTCCGAATCGATTGTTCAACTGATGGATCATTGCCTCCAGCTCCGATTAGTTTCAGTATTGAATGCCCTCCTCCACCAACAGCTGTTGTTGAACATGATCGAGTTACTCAAGCTAAACAAAATTTAGCCTATGAAGTTTTCTATTCAGCATATGGATTTCGTTCGCCACCAACTTTAGCTGATTTAGCTCCCTATGTTGCCCGAAAACATGCTGATCAATTGTTGCGTCTCGGTCATGTATCAACTAGTAAAGATAATTTAACTCTCAAAGCCCGTCTTACTATCAACGAAAAAGCGCATGATTGTCATGTTGTTTGTCGCTTAGGCGGAAAAGAAACTCGTCGCAGACTAACAGTTTATTGTAAGTGTACTCATTTACTGTTTTATTAGTATTAGTATTTTTAGTCCTCATTTAAGTAAGTACTTTTCATGCGGTTATCAGTTTTCTGAAGATAATCCTAGGTGATTTGGCTTCTCTTGGTTTTATTAACTTACACAGTTCCAAATACATTTCAACAGTTCTAAAATCACAGCATAACAAAACAAAGTGGCGAAGAGCATTAACTGGTCATCTTTGATATATGGGTTCTGACGACAAGCACGTTCAACTGGTAGATTGTGAAAGAATATGATACGATTTTTCGAGTCTTTTGATTACCTCTAGTGCCCTGGATATGAACTGTACTGTTGTACGTAACAGATGAGACCCACTTCTGAAGATCCTGTGCCAAACGAGAGCAGAGAAGTTCATGCTTTGTCGTATTAGGCAATGTGGGGAAGGCTTGGCATGCAAGTTGTCATTACAAATAATCCGAGGCTTTCTCACCTGGTTGCTGGCAGTGGCTCAGAAGTGAATTCACATAGGTAGAAGAGCTGTTATGTAGTCCAATACATTCGTTCAAAATATTCCAGTTTCTGGCAAGTTTATTGGCTTTCGCAAGTCCCCCAGCAATAGTTTGGGGGAATGCGTAAACACAGCGCCAATATTATCTGCAGACAGGGGTTCTTCAATGGACAGCCGCTTAGTGTACATTGCATGCGAAGCTTCCGGAGTTCGATAGCTGGCAGTGCCAGAGCCCGGACAGTGTGTACAGACTTTGAATTTAGAGAAAGCTGCGGGTGGCTCGTCTTTATCAGAGGTAAGGTCCATGTTGACGCTAAAGGTGTAACACCTCTGACTCCAATTTTTGTAAGGAAGACTAAAGCTCGGATAGTAGCAACTGACATGACACACTGAAACAACCGCGGAAGAACGCGAAGCCCAGAAGCAAGGCAAAAAGTGTATTCTTACAAGAAATACGGATTTGTGCGTGCAGATTCAAGGTACGAGTTTAAGACGGACCTTGCTAAATACCTTGACACATTGATTATTAAGAAGGCGACTGCAGCGAAGAAAGTTCTCTCTTCGACGAAGTCATCAATTAGGCTATACCTTCATTTATTTATAGTAAATATGTAAGAAAGTTCCAGAATTATCTCCAGTCAAAGGTTAAATTAATAGAATTACAAAGCGCAATCAACGGGAAGATCGAGTAGAAAAGACATAACATGATTATAATTACTGAAAAACTTGCCTGTCTCTACAATTACGGATTAGGGACGTAGTAATAACGAAAATAAACAAAAACCAAATCTAGTAGTGTAGATAGAAATTAAAAACGTAAAAATAACAGAAATAAACAGGAAGGTTGGATAAGAAAGGTAATTGGGTAGTCACTGTTGGTGTGACTAACTTTTCGTGATGGCTACGGTAGGGACAACGGTTGGATGTACTTATTTTGAAAACATAGCGTGGGCTTGCGTTTTTGGGTCACCAGTGTTTCAGCTATTCCTAGATGCCTCGATTTCACTCCTTTTGATAGGTTTGATTGGATCTTGTATATGATTTTGAAGGACTTTGCGAATGGAGCAGAATGTCCTGGATTCACCAGATGTTCTGTTACCGAACTTTATACACCCTTGCGTTCTCCCTTTGCTAACCATGCTGGATAGTGTTCCCGAGCGCGTTTTACAAGCGGGCGCATGGTACTGCTAATGTATTCGGCTCCACATGTGCGAGTGAACTGGTTTATACATTTTAAAGTGGCCCAATGCGACAGCTTGTCTTTCGCGTGCTGGTTGAATAGTTTCTTGCTGGAAAATGTCACTCTCGCAGGCCGGCAGCGAAGTATGTTTTACTGAGAGACTTCAAAAGCCGTCTACGGAGAAGTTCTGCTTCGGTATCACTTTTAAATTCGAGATTACATATCAGCATCTTTTGAGGGCAACTTGGACCTTTTCAAGTATTGTCTTTGGTTTTAGATTCTTTTCTATGAATCTGGGTGAAGGGAAACCACTTTTTATCAAAGTCCCTCGGATATTTCGCAATTCTTCATCAACTGATTTCTCAGTGAATATTTTCCTGATTCTCTAGGAAAAAGAGTATATCAGGTTTCTCTTTCTGCTTAGAGGTACACAACTTTGAAAGTTGATAAACTGTCCATTCCATGTGGGCATTTTGTAGATGGAACTTCTCAGTGAATTGCCAGTATTCCTTCGCAGTCGAACATCGAGGAGATGAAACATTGAGTCAGACTCAACTTCCAGAGTGAAGTTGATGTTTGGATGGGCGTTATAGAAGGTTCAGAGTAGGTTTTTTTAGATTAAAATTTTCACCACAAATAATGGAAGTATCATCAGTGTATTTCTTGTAGAGATGGAGCTAGCCGATAGTTGATGATAAGGAATTGTTTTCTAGGCTAGCCATAAAGCAGTCGCCCAGAGGAGTCCCAGAAGAGAACCAATTACTACTACATCTATTTCCCTGTATATTTCGTTGTTAAAACTAAAGTAGATGATGAAGGTGCATCGTAGTAACAGCTCTTTTAGATAATGGATTGGTATACCGACATCGATGGTATTGGATTGAAGGAAGTCACAAAGGGAGCATATGGTTTCTGTTAGTGGGACGTTGGTGAAGAGAGAGACGATATCCAGGGAGATCATTTTGTTATCTGCCAAGTTGATATTCTTAATTGATTAATTATTCTTTCACATTATTAGGGGTTCTTGGGCTAGGGAACTGTGGCATGGTCATTTGACTTGAAAGCTAACTCCATTTACAAACGTTTCGCAACTAAGCGGTTTCATCAATCATGAAACAAAAAGTGTGCTTATTTTCGGGTACATAAACAGACGTGCGGTCACTTCTTTTTTAAGGGTAAATCATTTGCTATCCTTGTCAATACACCACGTCTTCGTAAACGTTTTTGGATCCTACTGGACTGAATGTGACTTATTTATCATTTACTGTCGTATGAATTGAAAGTGATTTACCATTTTTTTTTCGAAAAGTGAGTTAAAAAGCTTCCTGGTCTATTAAATGATTCATTAGGATAGTATAGACAGAAGTTACTGTGTTTACAAGAAACATTAAGAGAAAAATGACCAATAGGTAAACAATATCTGACTTGATATATTTTTACTGCATATCATTGTCTAATAAGTCTCGATTTCCCGATTGTCTTGTAAATACCTACATCTTCTTTAGCATAAACTGCCAAACTATCGAGTGTATCCGTCTGTCTGTGCTTCTTGTGTTTATCATAGCTAGGGTCTCGTGGTTCCGCCTTATTTTCAGATTTACATTCACATAGCCTGCTAAAAAAACTAAGCAATTTCCAGCGTTCTATGATTTAATGTGCAGTGGTTAAACGTTTACTGTATTAGCAATAATCTTGTACGTATATCTGTAACCGGTACTGTCTAACATTTTTTTCACAGATCCAACAACTATATCTTATTTGCTACCACGCCCTCGTGAAGGTTTCATCTATGTTGGCTCTGATATAACATGTTATGCAGATGGTCACCCACCTCCAATGCTTTCTCTCCGTCTTACACAACCATTGCGTCCACCCAACCCACTTACTGCTGAAGAAATTGATGCCTTACGTCAAGGTGGTCGGTTACCTCCTTTACTTGAGGACGATCCGATAACCAGAGAGCTAACTCTTAATAATGCAGGATTGGATATTGCTCCACAACAGATGATACCTTCTCCTCCTGGGACGGAAGACAAAGAAAGTTCTTCTGTTGCATCTTCTGGTACACTTCATCAAGTTCCAGTTAGTTCAGATGATAAATGGCTTAATGGGAATGGAAAAGAACCTTACGAGCGGGCACATCGTGTTCCTGGACTTGGTTTGTCTACAGTTGAAAGACATCGTCAATTAGGTCTTCGACCTAATGAATATACTATACAGGGAGCAACATTCTATTTAGCTCCAAATGCTACTCCAGGTGTAGAACTTGTTTTAAGCTGCACTGCACGAAATGTACTTCCAGGTGATACTACGTTCTTGGGACTGAATGGAACAATTACTCGAACTAGATTTGTAGTAGCTGGTAAGTTAATGTTTTCAATAAATCAAAATTTTGTCTGTTATAACTATATTCAACAATATAACTGTGCTATCTAGTTGTTCTGTGTATGTTCAAATTGTACGTTTTCTCGATGTTGTCTTATATTCCTTCGACTAGAATCTACACCTGTCTACATTTCCACACTGTAGTGTCGTAGATCAGTTTCAATTTTCGTTAGTCCATGTAATCCTGTAAGTTTTTTTTCTTAAGATTGTTTTGGTACTGATGATTTGGCTTTTGTAAAAAACAATCCATACAAAAAACTGCACAATAGTCTAATATTCTTTATTAGTCTTGTGTGCATCTAACCAAATATTGATTCTAAATTCACTATATTTACTTTAAATATGACAATCAAGTGACATGATGTGAGATGTCGAAAAGATGTACAAGGTCTCTTAGCTCAGTTTTTAAGTTTGTAAGTCCAGAGTCGTTCATTACAATGGTATACTAGAAAAAAATTGGTTTTCAATGGTTCTCTAACTGAAATCAGTTCGTGATCAATCTTGAAATCGGTTAAATCCATGAAAATATTAACCTAGTGCTCATTAGTAACTGACTACTCTATGCAGTTGTCTGAATTTCTAGTGGGAATTGGTGACTAACGAGGTCCACCAAGCTGAGTGTGAGGACTGATAGTCACTGATGATACTGACTGGCAGTTGCGCTATATATCACAAGAATTGATGGAAGTTAGAATTCATGGGATGGTCACTGAATTGCGTCCCAGTTGCTGGGTGGTCTACGACTTTGCCTTGTAACCTAAAGGTTCCCGGTGGTGGTGGTGGATCATAAGGGCTTACTGGTGGAGAGTCCCAAACAAGGGCGAAATACCTGTCCAGTAGTAAAACAGTGTTTATGTTCGGATTGTTGTGGGTTTTACTGTTTTTGTTATTATTATCTAAAATTCAATCAAATAATTAATACGGCCCGTTGCACAAGAGGTGGCTCTCATGGCCCAAGTGGATAACGCTTTGGCGTTTAAAACTATGAGCACTGGGTTCGAGCCTCGGTGGGAACATCATCACTCACTGCGGAATGCAGGCACATCCAGTTGATGAGTCCCAAATAGGACGAAACGCGCATCCTGGATCCCACTGCTAGTCACTATCCACCAATTAACCCCTAATTACATGCCCAGACATCGTCGAAGCATCTGCACAAGAAGCCGACATGTCAACCTGAGACCGAGCACTTCGGTCCAATCAATCGACGCGAAAATCTAAAATTCAATTAAATTATTATTATTGTTGTTACTACTACTGCTACTACTATCTTTCTTATTGCTTTTAACATCTTCATTCTACTCAAATTATCATGTTTTAAAACTATGAAATAGCTCCACCTAAAGAGACTTACGCTGACTGGGGTAAGTGCACCCGCTATGTCCGCCAAAAGATGTCTGATTAAACCGTTTCATAATAACATGTGTATATAACTTACCGTTTTTTTTGTTTTAACGTGTATGTATATGTGTGTACTTTAATCTGTATTTTATATTTTAAAAAGCAATTGATTGTCTATTTTTAATGAAATCTATTTTTTCCTTAAAGTCTAAATTATTTATTTCTCTCTCAGTGTTGCACGTTACCTGTGATTTGCCAAGAAAACCAAACCTTTTTGTAATTTATTTTATAATTTTAAAATGTGCTATAATTCAATTTTATGAGTCAATTCTGAACCACCTATATGAGATTAACTGAACATTTGATTGAATCATAGTTCAGAGAATATTGTAAACACACAAAGTGTAAGTTTGACTTTTAATGTGAATCATATATGCAACATTCTTGCAGTGTATTTAGAGAAGGAATACCTTTTTCTGGCGCTTACAATGGGACTAGTGGACATGCCAACCTATCTTTGAGGGCTGGAAAACTGTGATTCCAAACCTATAGTGTGCGTGAGCTCCAGAATCCAACAGGATCGGATGGTATTTGAACCTGTTTTGGTAACCAGAAACCATAGGAATGTAGCCCTTGACACTGCTTTACTGCCTTTTGGATCAGACTTCAATTGAAAGGTTCAACGTGATGTTGACTCCTTAATACCGCCGTTTATTTTGATCCGGTCAGCATTCCATCCCTTGCATAAATTTTGAGATTTTATGTGGTGCGTCTTTTGGTGCCCATAATGTACCCAATTTGTGTTCTAATAAAAGTAATATAATAATTCATAGAAAAAAGCAGCATTCTAGAATTATTATTATTATTATCCAACTAGAAATATGCTAAGTTTCGATAAAACTTTTAGCATTCGGACAAACTGCATAAATATCCTCAGTTAAAGGTGAAATCATCTAGTCTCTAGGTTTATTTGTATATTCAACTGCGTGACTGAGTTGGAATAATACGCTTTGCTCAAAAGTGCACCAGTTCAAGTTGTTACTCTTCATACAGCACACAAAGGTAGGGGGAAGAGAGAAAAAGAGATTTGAGAAAGGTATGATGTGCAGAAATGTACGGGAGAAAGAAAGAATAGTAACATTGGAAAAACATATTGAGAATAACTGTGAGATATGTCACCAGTAGTCTCCAGCCATTGGTTCTTAGCATCCCGAGGATCCCAACCAATCATCTGTGTTTCATCCTTATTGTTAGCTCCCATTTAATGATGAACAGACTTGGATAAGGTGTTTATATTCTATTACTCTATCGTACTACACTGTCAAAACTATATTTCAAGTCAAAAAGTTTATGTACAAAACAACTAGCCAAAGTTAGGTTAGGTGGAACTGTGGCTTATCGGTGTTCGAAACCCAAGCTTTGAGCAGCCAGGTAATATCGCATGCGACTGCATGCAACTGCTAGTGATGGTTGAGTAACATTCTCCTAGGTACTAGGTAATTGTAATAGCCGAAGTTAGTGGTAGTAGGCAGGCCAGACGAATGAACTACAATCCTTCTTACTTAACTTCTTGACATCAATAATGAGATTATTCATTAGGGGATATTGTTTACAACATCATCATCATCTCTCTCTTTAGTTTTAGTACTTTTAAGTGATGGCTTTAAAGTTATTCAATCGTTTAAATTTCATTCTACACTACACTGCATATTTGTTTTGTTTGTCCAAAAAGGAATAAACTAAGTAGTTCATTATGTGCACATGTATTCCTTAGTGAGAGATTATTTTCACTTGATATACACGTAATTCCTATGTAAAAGAAGATTCTGTTCTGTTCAATTAAAGCAAAAATTTTGGTTGTACTTGTTATCAGTTCTTTAAGAGAAGCATTGCTTATCATTCTTTATCTGTATAAATTGGGTATTACTTTATTGATTTAGTATTATTACTATTACTTTTATGATTATTATTAGTATTGGATAGTCAATTGAAAAATAGATGAGAATAATATCTATTCGAAAATGTATTTGTACTGATTGATTGTTGGGTGAAACAACATGCATGGCCTGTTTGTACACTTAACAATGAAACGTACTTAATGTGTAAGGTTTTATTGATGATAATCATTAGGTGCTTAACCTTTTGTGTAAATATAAAAAAGAAGCTATAATTTATGGGACTGACTAAGTAAATATTTAGGCTATTCTACCACACCTCTACTCTCGTTCATTGTGTACATTTAATATCGGACAACCTTTCAATACCAATCAATGGTAATGTGAATAATTTTTAATATTTAGAATCTCAGTCAAGTATTCTGGCACATGGAAACATAGAAAGGAATTGAATAACTGTGTGAATACAGTAATCGAAGCATTTGTTGATGTTTAGGATTTCAGTTCTAGATATGGAAATGTTAGAATAATACCCAAGCTAGACAGGATTAGAAGTCAGGGTAAACCCTATAATATAATAACCGTATTCAACCTAAATTAGTCTCTTATTCTGCTCTTGTAATACATTTATTGATTGAAATTCTTACTACTTACTGGGATTTATACTGACCTATGGAAAATTCATTTAGGAGTGTGTCAGTGTTTTAACGGTAGAATGTTCTCCAAACACGCGCATGGTCCTGGTTCGATTCCTGGTCAGCGTACTTCACCTAGTTGGTAGTAAGCCAGATAAAGAGGGAAGAATGGGCGTGAGGCTAACAACACCACCGCTGCCGAAAGTTCAAAATACGAAGTCGAAACCGTATATTCCACTAGAAAAGCAGAAGAATGAAGGAAATCTGTGACACTACATAGTTTTTCATTTAGCATAAAATGTATCTACAATGAATCAACAAAATAGCTTCTTTATTTAAACTGTAAGTGTATCTTAGATATCCTAGTGAAGTGTTGTTGGCGGACAGTACTGTACTAAAGTGGTATAATCTAATTGCGAAATCCTTGATAACTTTGAGTTCTCAATCACTATGTAGATTTTGCATGGAGGATTTCACCATGAGCTGACATCAATTAGAGAACCACTGGAAAACCTGGGAGTACTGGACAGTTGTTTCGTCCTAGTTTGGGACTCTTCATCAGATTTTGTACAAAACTACATTTGTAAACGTAGAATTCTAGATTTTTGCTTAAAAATATATAATTGAAGAAGTATATGTCCAGATGAATTCATTTTTCCCCATATTTTGTTGATGATCATTGTGTATGTTCGATGATTTTACACCAAACATACGTTATTTCATCGTTATCTTTATTTTTATAGAATTTTATTATAATTATTATTCTCTTGGGTTCTGAGTGGAACATATAAGGCTTCAACAGTACATCACCATTTCATCCTGTTCTCTGCAATCCATTTTAGCTTGCGCCACGATTGCCCATAAACTTTCATCTGTTTTTCACACTATCTCTTCCGTGGCACCCTGGAACCGACACCCAACTCGTCGTTTCCTATTCGGGTTCCACTTGAGGATCTGCCTGGGGTGTGATGTCACCCGACAGTCTCTTCAGCATGTTTCCGATCTATCTCCATTTCCTTCGGCATATTATTTTGGACAATTGGTTCTTTGTTGGTTCTTTTTGTCAAAGTCTTATCAACTTTTGTCTTCTGTGATGAATGTGCTTT